TTTTATTTTGTCAAAATACAATGTGGTTGACTATTGTGGCCAATTACCGAAACCTCCCTCCCTCCTCCCTCTGCTTTTGAAAAGCTAAATCCATAAGGAAGTCCTGGATTAGGAGGCCCTTCCCCACCTCGCTGCTCTTCTCTGACTCTCGTTTTCCCCACAGGACATGATCCACATCGCAGACACCAAGGTCGCCAGGCGCTATGGGGATTTCTTTATCCGTCAGATTCACAAATTTGAGGAGGTAAGAGGTCTGAGAGAGTGGTTTGTTGGCTGTGGACAGAGATTAGGAACTAGACTGGGAGTTTTAAAATTTTTTATTTCTTATTTTTAGTTTCAAGAAAGCCTAAAATTTGCCCTTTAAGTTTCTGAGCTAGACTGGCTGGCTGCTTGGGGTTTGGGGAGTGGGGTTGGGCCTGTAGGAATTGCTGTGTCAGCCTTCTCTAGAGCATCTCTTTCCAAGATCTCCCTGCGCGGGTGGCCAGCTCCCCTGTCCCTCCCTTGTATTTCCTAATATGGGTGGGTTCACTGCCTGCTCTTACCCATCCCTCCCCATTTGGCATTGTTCTCCAAATTAGACAGGTCTGGCCAGTTCCTGCAGGCTGGAGGATAGGAAGCTCTATTTTGACAGACTTGGTACATTCCATGACTTGCTCCAGGAGAGATCTTGTGGGTCAGGCCAAACACCCACCACAAGGGTGTGGGTCTCCTTTTTTGGCAATCACTGGAGCTCCTGTGTCCTGGTACTTTCAGTCCTCCAGCAGAGGTCAGGCTTCTCCTGTGGGATCATAACATAGCCCCAGTGCTCTTTTTATTTTCTAGATGTGCAGATCACATCTGTCAGTGTGGTGGACTGGGGCTGTCTTCTAACAAGGATCCTGTTCCTTGTGAAAGGAGAAAACTGAAGCTCCTGATTCTTCCCCTAACTGGACTAGTAACCTTGGCAAGTCTAGCCACTCTCAATCCCTTTCCTGTCTATAAAATGGCTAGAACAGTGAGGGTGTGGGTTTGTTGAGTGCAAAGGGCAGATAGAAGAACAATCTGCGTCAACTGCGCAGGGCCCTATGAACTGTGCAGGGCTTTACACATACATAGTGGTCATCCAAGCTCAAACCAGAGACTCCCTGACATCAGAGGGGTGGCTATGAGTCTGACCTAGTGATAATGCACACTGTAGGAAAAAGGTTTGGAGAAAACCCCATATCTAACTTGCTTTTCTTTCTCTTTTAGCTTAATCGAACCCTGAAGAAGATGGGACAGAGACCGTGAGCATCTTCACACTCATATTAGTCAGGAACCTTTTTTATGTCATTGTAGGTGGGAAGTGTGAAGCCTTTACCTAGATCAGCCATCAGCCAGTAAACTGAGTTGAAATTTACTCAAATTAAGGACTGAAATGTTTTACGTAGAGTCAGTAAAAGATCTTTGGAGCCCAATTTGTTGTCTCCTTATTGTGGGGGAGAATCTGAATTGTAGCAACAGTACATCACTTCCCATGTCATGATGCTTTCATCTTGCATCAGTTATCAGTGTGTAAATTGAATCCTTTATTTCCTTGGGTTCATAAAGTCCTGTACAGTTCACGGGATATTTTCACATTCCGTGTCTTATTTGCACCTCACAAGAATTCTGTGAGCTTTAAATGACCTGCCATAATTTGCATGGCATGTTAGTGGCAGTGCTAGGTCCTGGGAAGAAACTACTCAACTCCTCCTGCAAGGAATTGTGCAAAGAGCTATCCATATATGTTGCTTAAACATTATAGCTTGGGTTTAATAGTATTTCCCTATTTCATTAATGAGGAAATGGACCCCAGGGTATAACTAAGTGACTTGACCAAGGTCACATAGCTATAAAAAAGCCAAGAGTTGGCTCCAAACTACAACGTTTTTCTACTGTTTTCTGCCTAGGTAAGTGCCTGCTGCCATGCAGAGCTGGGCCTCCTTTAGGTTCCTGTCATGCCTGGAGACTTCTGATGGTAGGCAGCAGCGTCCGCCTTACCCTGGGTGTTAGTGCTGTACCTGTCACCCTGAGGTGGACACCAGTGTGACTCTTGGGGTAGAAGCCCCTGTTTACAAGTCACTTCACCTTTGCACCTGGTTGCTTGTATATGAAATGATGGGAACTTGCTGGGCAGTGGTGAGGAATAAATGAGATGCTATTGGAGTGCCCAGTGCAGTGCCTGGCTTGTAATAGATGCTCTTTTATTTACTCATCTTGCACACTTGGAATTCATAAGCTTTTCTGCATCCTCTTTTTTTCCCCTATTTGATAATTACTTGCTATTGAATGCTGTAGTGGGTTGAATGGTGGTTCTAACTGTTAACAAATTCACTGAAAAAGAAATTTAGAGACAAAGACTTGGGCAGTTTGCAAACCAGGGAGACGCAACCTTGCAACATTCAGTACAAAATGAAAGAAAGCATGCTCCACCAGAACAAAGAGAGGGGTAGTCTTACATAGCCAGATTTCTCGCCCAGGTTCCCACTCTGGTCCTTTATACAAATGAGGGGTTCAAGTTTGTCAGTCCTGATTGGTCCAGTCAGTTATGCAAAGAAGGGATTCTGGCTTGCTGAGGTTTGGCCAGTTAACACGTGATAGGTCATAGTTCTTAAGTTTAGGTAGAGAGTGACTTCTGTGCAGCAATTGACTGATGACATAAACAGAAATAGGTGACTATGAAAAGCCCCAAAATTCAACTGTTGTTCAGCTTGGGATTTTCCCAGGGATACGTATGTTGTTCAGCTCTGTACAGAATTTAGACCCAGTTAGCCACTTAGGATCCATTTCAGGATTAAAGACCTAGGTATAAGACCCAAAACTGTAAAATTACTAAGGGAAAATATAGGTGAAACACTTCAGTAGTTAGGTCAGGGCACAGGCTTTTCATAGTCACCTATTTCTGTTTATGTCAT